TCCTGAGCCCACCCAAGGAACTTGTCTACACATGCCTTTGGCACTATCGCGCTTCCTTGTGCTCCGAGGGACCTCCTGAGCCCACCCAAGGAACTCGGGAGCCCACCCAAGGGAACTTGCGAGCCCCTCCCGAGGGAACTGGAGAGGTCCCTTGGGGATTAGGAGAAATTGGCTGGAGCCACAAGGAAGCCACAAGGAAATCTCCTTGTGGCGTTTTAGAATTTGGCTGGAGCCACAAGGAGGCCACACGGAAATCTCCTTGTGGCGTTCTCACTTTTTTTCGCCAAATCGTTCCGGTGGATGGTTACAACATCTTTGTGGATTTCGGGTCCCCAAGGAGTGTCTAACGACGCCCTCTCTCTCTCTCTCTCTCTCTCTCTCTCTCTCTCTCTCTCTGTGTCTGTACTTCGGTCTTTGGTGCTACCTGCTCCGTGGTTGGTGGTTCGTGCTTTGTGCTTGGAGCTACGTGCTGCGTGCTTCGTGCTACGGGCTTGGGGCCACGTGCTATGTGTGCAAACGCTACAAGCTACGTGGTAAGAATTGGTGGAACTCTCTCTCTCTCTCTCTCTCTCTCTCTCTCTCTCTCTCTCTCTCTCTCTCTCGGGGTGCTACGTGCTTCGTGCTTGGAGCTACGTGCTATATGTTTCGTGCAACGTGCGAAGTGGTAGGTGCTAACGAATTTAACGAATTTGCGCAGCGTGCCACGTGCGCGCTCTGTCTCTCTCTTTCTCTCTCTTTCTCTCTCTTTCTCTCTCTCTCTCTCTTTCTCTCTCGCGCGCGCGGGCCGCCCACCCTCGCCCGCCCCCACATCCAACGTGTATTAGTGCTTCGTGCTATTGGTGCTATGTGCTACGTGTTTCATGCTCCGTGAACGGGTGCTACGTGAATTGGTGCTACTTTACTCGATGTGCTTGCTACCTGAATTGGTTCTACGAATGGTGCAACGTGCTTGGAGGTGCGTGCTACGTGCGGCTGCTCTCTCTTCTCTCTCTCTCTCTCTCTCTCTCTCTCTCTCTCTCTCTCTCTCTGTGTGTGTGCTACGTGCTACGTGAACGTGGTGCTTCCTGTGAGTACGTGCTTTCAGAGCTCGGTACAACCGTGAATTGGTGCCCATCTCCCTCGCCTTTCGTGATGCAAGGGCTGCCCTTTTTCTTAATGATCTGCCATGCATTCGTTTCTCCTTTTTGCCTCTTTTTGCGTCCAAGATGGCAGCCACGATTTCCGAAGTAGACGCAACTTTTGTCCCGAGAGAATTCTATTAGTTTTTTTCCTCCTTCAGGGTCTATCGCGCGTTGTTAATATTGTTTTTTCCGTTTAGTCAAGGGTTTAAGATTGCCTTTGTTGTGATACACAATTTTAGATAGATAGATAGATAGATAGATAGATAGATAGATATATTGGCCCGAGGATGGACTTGTTACACTCGTGCTCGACGGCGTCGACACCCTATACATGTGACTCGACTTACACAATGGTTTCGCCGTATGTTTCGCTGGTCCGTGCATCATCACCTTCTCCTCCCCTTTCTTTCCCTTCTCCTTCTGCCTCTCCCCCTCCTCCTCCCCTTTCCTCTTTTCCATCTTCTCATCCTCCTCCCCCTCCCCCTCCCCCGTCTTGTCCATCTTCCCCTCCTCTTTCTTCCCCCTCCTCCTCTCCACTTCCCCCTTCTCCTCCTTCTTCCCCTTCCCCTTTCCCTCCTCCCTCTCCCCCTCGCTCTCCTTCCCCTTCCTCTTTGCCAGCATCCTCTTCTTCTTTGTCATCTCCCCCTTCTTCTTCTTCTTCTTCCACTTCCCCATCTTCTACTTCTACTTCTTCTTCTTCTTCATCCCTTTCTTCGTCTTCTTCTTCTTCTTCTTCTTTCTTCTTCTTCTTTCTTCTTCTTCATCTGCCTCGTCTAGTTTTTCTTCCTCTTCCCCACGCCGGCTGAGATCGGCCCCTCCTTGATCTTCGTTGTCCATATTGGGACGTCGGCAGGTTCTTTCATTCTCTCCTCCTCCCAGTTCCCCTTCCTCTCGACGTCGTCTTGATGCTAATCTGCGGGGTTCTTTGTCTTCCCAACAACCTGCTCTGCCACGTCGACGGCGTTCGTCAATCACGCGCCGACCGTGCCAGATCAGGCAGATCAGACCTGGCTTTGCAGTGGTGACCGATTCGGATCTGTCGGCAGATCTACCAAACGCTTGATGCTTGAGGCTTGGCAGCCACAAATGTCTGCCTACCTCAATGGCTTATCAGCGTCAATGTTATACTGCATCCCATTTTGTTACGATTGCTTAGCAGCTTGACGCTGTTGAAAATCAGCATTGTTGTATATGACCATAATGGATAATGGGCCACCTCCTGAGGGTAGGGAGTAGCTATACTCTTCCTCATCAGGAGGGCTCTACTGTAAAAATGTCTTACAGTTAGTGTTCCACTGTCGCCACCTTCTTCTTATGCCTGCATCATGCGACGCCAGACGATGATGACCTTTATGACCATCCTCCTCAACATTTCTGCCTGTAGTTTACACAAACCCGGGCATTAATTATATCGCACTCATTCATTCAGCTGCCCAGTGGGAACTGTGGGATGGTGGGACGATTATTCAGGTTGTTTTCAACGTAAATTAAACTTTGCGTGCATTGCCCAATCATACTTTATTCTGGATTATTGACCGACTCTTGTGTGACACCTGTCGGTACAGGGACGCTGTGCGCCTTGGCTGCGGAATTCATCATCTATGCCATGATCACCATTATATCAATCTATTGCGGCCGCCGCCGTCTGTGCCAAAGGGTGTCCAACATTTTCTCATTGTACACATCCCTCCCTATCACCCAGATATTCGTTGTGTCCCTTTTGTGCGCAAGGACGCTATCAGGACTGCATGATGCCGCACTGTGATGAACGTTCTGCTGTTTCTTTTTTTGACCTGTGGACAGCAGCATGTCCTTTGTCAGGCCTGTTTTGATGGGATGGGATGGTCCGTGGTAGCCGTCTTGCTGAATGCTGTGCTGGCGCAGCTCTCCTTGGGTACCCTTGTGAACATCCACGTCATCATCCTCGGCGTGCCTGTCCTATCTGCCGGGGTGGGGTGGGGGCTCCTCTTCCCGACTGGTCAGTAGAATCAAGCAGGTCAGGAGCAACACTAATTGTAGGACAGATAAAGCGTTCGACACTACCAACAGATACGGATGTGAAGAAAGAAGAAAGAAAAATTGAGAAAACGAAAAAAAAAAAAAAAAAAAAAAAAAAA